AATATTTCATTACTTTAGATTTTTTTACTTAACAAGTTTTCATAGCTTATTGCTGGTAAGTTCTTCCAAGGTCATAGTTATGTAGATTTTTGTGCTCCCTTCATGGTAGCTGGATGGTTGAGCTGACTGTTATTGCAGAAGACACACTTAGAAAGGCAGAACTGCTGGGAGAGGTGAGGCTTCAGTGGTCAAGGCTAGGGCTGAACTAAATTTGTGTTTGGATGTTTCTAGATAGCAGTTAACTTTGTCAGTTACCTTCTGTATGGGGGACCAGAGACACACGGTTTATTCTTCAGCAGAGATTAGCGATTAGAAACCTTGAGGGTTTGGGCACTACCTTATCTCTTGCATGGAGAGCAGCCTTGTGCCTTCCGTTTTAACAGTGTAGTGTAACACGTGCTCCCACTCATGGCAGAGAAGGGGGAGACCTGAATTTTCCTGGGCAGTCAGGGAAGTGCATACTCCTTCCTCCGTTATGAAGGAGGTGAAAAAATATAACATGCTCTTTTGTTCCCCTTCATAAATACAGTAGTTGGTTCAATAAAAATGCATGAGTGAATATAATAAATGGGTGGAAAAGCAAACCAGGAGCTAAGTAAACAATAGGGATTGGAAGCATAAGACAGACAATGGTGGACTTTAAACTCTTTAGCATTTTGCTGTAGTGTTTTAATCCTGAAATCACTGTGTAACCTCTCTGAAGCCTCTGAGTTAAAATAAACCTTTGTCTTTAATACCACTTGACAAAGGAAAAGAAAAACTACCTTAAGCACCACTGCTGTTAGCTCTGTTCAGCTAATACTCTGCTGGGGAGAACAGATGGAAATGATTTTAAATGGACAGTAAGGATTTGGGGTTAATGCAAAGAAAGTTCTTATTATTTAGAGTTAAGGCTTAAGGTTATTTGAGTCCACAAAAATAATCATAGTTAGGGCCAGGGATTTAGCTCAGTGTCGTAAGTACCTTCCTGGCAAGTGTGAGGTTGTGAGTTCGATCCCTGGTACAAAAAAAAAAAAAATCATCATACAATGGTATGGAAAATTTCCTTGGAACCAGTTTCCAACCTCTTTTACTTAGCGTTAGCATTCCTTTATAAATATTCATTGCCTGTTTGGTATCAGGTGCTAAGAAGACAATGGTGAATGATAAATGTGTATCATTAAGATTGCTAGAGAATGAGAAATCAAAATAAGCACAGTGGTATATAATTCCAAAGTGTAATTGAGTCCAAAGGAAAAAACAAAACGCAGAGATGCAGTCTAGTCAAAGGTTGGAGGTGCCCCCTAGACCCGTGATGTTGGAGCTGAGATCTGAGAGCGAGGAAGGTCAGCCAGGCAAGGTAAGCAGCAGGAGCGTGGGATTGGTGGAAGCAAAGCTTCAGAGGAAGAGCCTCCTTCCTGTCTCAGAGCTTGGGGATGTTGGTCAGATGGGGGCAGGGACAGGAGTCACAGAACCTTGCCCAGTGTTGAGGGTTTGAACTTTACTAGGGAGCAATGAGATGTCTGTGAAGGGTGAAGGTGAAGGGTGACAACATCATACTTGCTTTTAAAAAATATCACAAGGGGTATAGTGAAGAAAACATTTTAGAAAGACTAAGAATAGCTGTCAGAAGATAATGGTGATGGACTAGGAGTGAAATCACCCAAAGGATATTGAAGCAGAGAAAACAGTGAACAGGATAAGCACAAAGGTGGATAGGATAAAGGGACGGAGAGAAATGGGGATGCATCTGGATCCCAGTTTGAACAATCGTGGAAGCTTTATCTTTATCTCGACAGGGATGATAGGGAATCAGATAACTGATGCTAGTTTTTTGGTGGGTGGTGGTGGTGGATGGGTTGGGAGAAATATTCAAGAGGTTTTTCTTACACAGTGACTTTGAGTGACCTGAAAGGAAATGTCATGTAGGTGGTTGGCTATACTGATCTAGAGTTCTAAGAAGGAGTTTGCATTGGAGAGATGAATTCAGGTCATTGGAAGGTAGATAGTAATTTATTTAGGTGACCTTGAACCAGGGCAGTGATACTCTAAATATTTTCCCTCACACCAGCAGCATCAGCAGCACCTGGTTGAAAATGCATTTCTTCTTAGAAATGCAGACTCTCAGGTCCTGCCTTGGATCAGCTGACTCAGGATCAGTGGATACGGTCACTGTAAAGTCTGAGCAGCCCTGATCTAGGAAGACAGATGGAGTGGGAAGAATTTGGAGCCTGGAATAGTGCCTTCCTGAGGTCGTTTTTAAAGTGTGGAAGGTAAAGGATAACTTTGCAGAGGAGAGCGGGAAGTAGTTTTCGAGAGGTAGAAAGTATTTCCAGGAACCCAGAGAAGAGAGTGTGCAAGGGTGTGAGTTACACTGCTGATGTGTTAAGTAAGCTGTGTGCAAAAATTCACTGGACTTGGGCAAGTAAATCCAGAGACAGAAAACAGATTAGTGGTTATGTTATTTATTTAGTGGTTATCTTATTTATTTAGTGGTTTATTTATTTATTTAGTGGTTATGTTATTTCTCTGATTTTCCTATAGTCTGCATAGTATGCAGTTTCCTTGGTCTAGTTACCATTCATTTATCTGATTTCGAGCTTTCAAAATACTGCAGGTCCCCCTCTCTCTCCCTCCCTCTCTTTCCCTCATCTTTCTTTCTCTGTCCCTTCTTTCATGTCTCTCAACCTTCTTTTATTCTTTCCTTTCATATTCCACCTGTCCACTGGGGAGGAGGACTTTAAAAACAACTAAGTGCCGGTAGATTCATGAGTTCAATCTTCCACCTTAACTTTATCTTTTTTTTCCATTCCAGAGCTATATAACCTGTTACTGTGTCTCTTCACTGACACTGTGTTTACTTTCCTGTGACTATCCATGAGCCAGGTGCTACGAATCAGCCATTTCTTTCTTGCCCTCTAGAGGGGAAGCTTTGGGAGCCCGAGGATTGTGCCTCAAAGAGTTGTCATCTCCCTTCCAGAAGATATAACTGAATTTTACTACATCCCTTATCATAATTCATAAACTTCTATCTTGCCAGCCTGCCGTGACTGCTTGGGTCCTAGTTCTGACAGCCATTAACTTTCTCTCCCACCTTTGCAAGTTTGAAGATTTGACCCCCAGGTCACCAGAGCTCTTCTTAGTCACTGGTAGCAGCTGTGGCTGTGATAGATCAAGAGATGTCACAGTGGTCTCACTATATTTTGCTGAGGTTGAGAAAGATTAGGGCTGGTGCTTTCTCTGGGACCTCCTATTTGTAAAATTGTTTAGCTGAGTCTGGGGTGAGGAGATGATACTTGGAGAAATAATTGGCACCTCCAGTCTTCATGATTCTTTATTTTGCTCTTCTTAAGTTTTATTTTCTTTTTAAAGTTAAAGCAGTTTTTACTAGATCTGTGGAGAGAATTAGAGTTAGTGAATTTAAGTGAAAGATTGTATCGTTCTTGTGAGCAACTTTATAGTTTATAAGATTACATTCAATTATATATGTTGAGAGTTAAATATAGTAGAATTAGCACTGTAAGTGGCTTTGTCACAGTAGAAATCACAGACATTTTTATGTCACATTACTGTTGTGATATCTTAAAATGTTATTTTCATTCCTTGTGAAGAGGCATAGTAGTTATCAGACCTGTCACTAAATCTTGTTAACTAAAAAATGCATATTGGGCTGTTCTAAATTATGTTTTAACGTATTAATAATTTTGTTAAATTTAATCACATTTCCTTTGGAGATTCAGGCCTCAGGAAAGCTTTCTGTTAAGCCACTTTGCTAACTCACTGCTTTTGTGTTAGGCTCTCAGGATGCTGAAACTCAGTGATGATGGAGTTGCATTCTAATTTGTGGCTTAGTAGCCATAGAGGTACCTTTCGTGGTTGGTGATTAGAAACTTCATTTTCTATTGACTATGTGTGGAATCCTCTAAAGGCTGTGTTCTCCCTGCAGAGCCTCTGGCACCCTCCCAGATGCTACTAGAGTGGTGATGTGGGGCACTGGGTTTTGTCAGGGTGGGTGCCTGACAGCTCTGCTCCTTGGGTCAGCAGTGGGGGCTGAGCGCACAGACAGGGAGAGTGGAGGTCAAATTTCCTGCCTAGAACACCTTGGAACACTGGTAGCTTGAAACTCCAGGGCTGGTTCTTGCTTACCTGACCTGAACTTGATACTTAAGTTTTATATTGCCTGAGGCAGATCTGCTAAAGTTGCTCTAAAAACTTAAGTAAATAAAATAGGAAGCCCTCAAGCTTTGATGCAGTGGGTTCCCACTTCTTTTGGTAGAGCCGCTCCTGTTGCATTTGGAACATTTGTGGATCCTGGTGACTCTGAGAACGTTGTTGGGAACTGTGACTACATTTTCCTGGGGCTTTGTTTTGTTTTGGTGGGAAGGGATGGTATTTCATCCGTAAAAATAGCTGCCAGGTTTTATTGAGCTACATACATTGCGCCCTTGCCTTTCAATACGTGCATTTTCCATGTTTCTGGCAGGAGGTCATTCACCTGCCAGAATGCCTCTTGTGACAATGAATGTTTTACTTAATAATAAAACAATCCAGTTCACTGTTAGTACAGGTAGTAAGACTATTTAAATGCTTCTTTACTTCCAGGCACTTTATATATAGTTTAAATGATCTGACTTCAATTTTATGAGTGGTAGCTACTATCATTAACTTTGTTTCACAGATGAGGAAACCAAGACACAGACTAATTTTCTCAGGTTGGTAATCATGATGTAGCTGAGTGGGAATTTGAACTAAGGCAGTTTGACTGCTACTACCATAGAGCTCGTACTATTCAACCTGTTTGCCTGTTTATGTATTTACTTATTTATATTCTGCTGGTTTGTGCTAAAACAGTTTCAGAAGCACTGCAGCGAAGCTGTAGGTGTAGCTAGTTTGTAGACTCTCAAATGTATAATTACCATCTCAACAACTTGAAACTGTGCAAACAAGTGTCTTGACTCAGGCATTTTATTATTTGAAAATTCTGAATGCAAGTTTTTCATGTGGTTTATTTATGTTTATAGGGATGCTTCATTTGGAAACTGCACTTACAATCTCACCATCCTCGACTGTTTACAAGGAATCAGAAAGGTAATAGCATTTTTTTCTTGCTGTAGGTTGGTTTAGTAGTTTAAAAATACCAAATGAGAATAATCTGAACACCCTTCTCTGTCCTCAGAGAGAAGAGAGGGGAGCTCATAAACTGAAGACTTTTAGTTTCTAAATGATGATTAATTTGAGAAACATAGTTGGCGCCCAGTGCCTGAGAGTTCCTCATTGGTGACTTAACCAACCTCAGATTGAAAATACTAAGAAATCTTCTCTTCCTCCCACTTCTATACTGCATATGCTCAGACTTTTTCTTAGTTTTCTCTACACAACACAGTATAATAACTTACTGTACAGCATTTAATCATATGAGATATTATAAACAATCTAGGATTATGTAAAATGTACAGGAGGGTGTGTTTAGAACATACTATGTAGTATGTTCACTTACTATATAAGGCTTGAGCATCTTCAGATTTTTATCTATGGAGGTTTCTAGATAATCCTCATGGATTCCAAGGAAGGGAGACTGTGTATAACACAGAACAAGCTTGGGGGGAGATGTGCGAGAGGTCTCCCTTTCTCATTTAAACGATCGGTGTCCTGGGAAAATCTGTCCCTTCACTCTGCTGCTGTGCCTGTGACACTGCTTTGTTACTCCTTTAGCTTCATCCTCAAGCTGGATCTCAGTGTGGAGAGAAGTGAAGTTTCCAAGCCCCATTCTCTTCTGTTACCAGGCTTGCCCAGGCTGCCTGAGTCAGAAGCGCTGGGGGTGGGGCCCTGTGATCTGGCTTTGAACAATCCCTCCAAGGGATTTGATGCACTTTAAATTAAGTTAGTTGTGGTAGTAGAGAGGTTAAACTGTAAGTTTTTTGGAACATGTTTAATTTACAATCTGGGAAGACATGCAAGTTATACAGTGAATTCTAATTGAGGGGTCAAAGTACACAATTTCATCTTGAGGGATGATTTTTTATGAGTCAGATATATATGTAGTACATAACTAATTGGACTGTGTAGAACCAATAATGATTATAGCTTGTTTCTTTTCTCCAATGTAATATGAAACAGTTTTTGCTATTTTTTTTTAATTGAGAAAGTCAGTACGATAAATATGCTACCTGGCTTCTCTATGTTTGTTTCTGACTTTGATATTTCACTTTATTTATCTTGGCAGTGCTAGGTATTGAACCCTGGGACTTGCACATGCCAGGCAGACACTCTGCCCACTATGCTATAGTCTGCATCCTGAATCTTCATTTTATCAATGACTTTAAACCTTCTAAGACTTTTTAAAAATAAAATTTAGAGATACACTGGCCCAAACAGTATTGCCAAAATACCCTTGCAATAATACTAGTTAAGTGGTTTTATGGAGACATTATTCAACACATAACCTATAATTATAGCATTTAGAAGGAATGCCTGAGGGAAGAAAATAATTTATTTTTGTCACTATTATTACTATTTTGCCTTTCCTTTCATCTGGTACAGGCTGTTTCTTTTATAACACTTAGGAAACTCAAACAAGAGTTCCCACCAGAATATCTCTGCCCATTATTATGGTAACTGGTATCTCAATATAGAAATTTATGACATCCTTCCTGTTGTACAGGAAAGGTGTGACTCTCTTCACAAATACAGGCTTCTCTAGACTTACTGTTTCATCAGATGTTGGGATTTGCCCAAATTTAGATGAGATTTTAAAGGATCTGGTATATTGTTTAACAGGCTTGTAGGTAACTGAGCTCCATGGGCCCATGTGTACTTCCTTCCATAAGACAATATCAGGGCTATTTTTGTGACAATGAGTACTCTTTTGAGAGTGCCTATTCTTTTGAGCATGCATATCCTTCTGAAAGTGCATATCCTTCTGAGAGTGCATATAGAGTATAGCTATATTTTTGCCTTTTTTTTGGGTCCTTTTCCTTTTTATTGGTACCGGGGATTGAACTCACGACTGCCTGCTTGCAAGGCAGGCGCTTATGCTGCTGAGCTAAATCCCCAGCCCCTATTTTTGCCTTTTTAAGGAAGGTATTTTTCTGGCTTTGATGTATTACTTGTCATCATAACTCATGTGTTACATGAACACACAGAGACTTACACAAATACTCAGTTTAAAAATAAAGAAAAAAGGAAGAAAAGTATCATTTAGAGTAAATTTTTCCACTGGTTTCTTTGGAATAGTACATACAGCTGAACTAAACTGCTTTTTAATTTATTAAATAAGAATTTAAATAATTTAAATAGCTTAGGCAAAATAATTTAAATAACTTGTTTAGCTTATTCTCTAGGAGTTGTCTAAACCAGTGTTGTCAGAAGTTAGCATGTGCTGGGGATTTAGCTCAGCGGCATAAGCGCCTGCCTTGCAAGCAGGCAGTCGTGAGTTCGATCCCTGGTACCGAAAAAGACAAAAAAAAAAAAAAAAAAAAAAAGAAGTTAGCATGCGTAAGAATCATTCAGGGAAGCTTGTTAGAAAGCTAGTCCTTTGGGAAGTAGGAAGAAAATGTTCAGAAGGGAAGGGCAGGGAAGAAGGGAGGCTGACGGGGGAAAGGAAGGAAAGGAAAAGGGGAGAAAAAGAATAGAAGGAAAAAATGGAAACAAAACTTCTGTAAATAAGCAGAAGAAGGGTTGAAAGGACAGGAGAGGAATGTGGAAAAAAGAATGAAGATATACTACCTACAGGAACGAATTCTGTATGACAAGTGTGATTATTGTGTATATTAAAAGTACCAATAAAATCAATTAAAAGAAAGAAAGAAAGCTGATCCTGAATCTCATCCTCAAAGGATCAGATTCAGTTGTTCTGGGATGGAGCTTAGAAATCTGCTTTGTAATATGTTACCCTAAGCATTTCGGATTCAGGTGATCCATCTTTACCTTTTTTTTTTTAAACACTGCTCTGTAAAGTGCTTTTAAAGTGGATGTACTGAAGCTTGGCTTTCTACTTTCTTTTTCTATTTTTAATGACTTGATCATGTAACTTTTAAAGGTAAAGGTACCTGTAGTTTTTGTGCTCCATTGTCATCTGTATAGTTTCACAGTTTGCCAAATAACTTTTTCTTCATCTTTCTGAAAACATTAGGTGTGAATAAGCCAGGTAATTTTTAAAAGTACTCAGTCATTAGTTTCAAAAATGGGTGAAGTTTTGCGTTGTTAAAAGATATCAGTTCTTCTGAATTGTAAGAGCAGACGAGTACAGTTAAATTACTCCATCAGAAACACATTCTTTCAAAGTTAAGTTCTATGAATGGATTAGGTTTTATTAAGTAAAAGTGCCCTTTTTTGCTAAATATTATGAAAAACACACACAAAATTTTTAATAGATTTTTCTTCAGAGAACTTAATCTCTATGATGTGTTCAATTATAGGTTTTCCAATAGGTTTTAACTATAAATTTTCCAGTGTGTTCCAGCTTGTTACATTTATATACAAAACTAATTTAAATTGATTCAACCATCATCTTTTGTAAGACATATTTTTATATATTCAAGTTGTTTAGCTCCATTTCCAGGACAGTATTAGGTCAAAGTTATCAGAGTTATCAAATGATTTCCAGAGTTGCATTAAAAATCATAAGTTTCAGTTCCTATATGCAGGTCAGAGAGCATCATTTTGTAAGAAGCAAACTGGTGAATAAAATTGATCAATTTAGTATAAAAAATCTAATTCAAATTTTGCTTTTAGGGATTGCAACATGGATTTTTTGACTTTGAGACATTTGATGTGGATGAATATGAACATTATGAGGTTGGTACATTTAATATTTTTGGAAAAGATTATTTCATGTTAATAAGAAATTTGGTTTTCATCTAATATTCTGAAATTACAAATTGAGTGGTTGATAAAGTCATTTGTGAATTTTTTAAAATGTCATTTTGTCCTTTTAACTTTATTATGTTTGAACCAAGAGTCATTAGAATTTTAATTTGTGAAAAGCCATGTCTGTACTTTATCTATTCACTTAACCAAAGTTGATGGACAAACAGTTTGTACCTTTTGTGAAGAAAAATAATTTCAAAGTATAGTTTGGTAGTGAAATTGTGAGTCACTTGTTTTTTATTTTAAATTAAAAATTGTTTATTTAAAACAAAACAACTGGGTGTGGTGGTGCATGCCTGTAATCCTAGCATTTGAGAGGCTGAGGCAAGAGGATACTGTGAGTTTGAGACCAGACTGGGTTACATAGGGAATTCAAAGCTAGCCTGAGCTACATAGAGAGACCTTGTCTTCAAAAAAACAAAAACAAAACACTCCCAAATAGATTTGTACCTTATAATACTTTTTACCCTATACTTTGTATTTTGTTGTTTTTATTTTTTTATTTTTTGGTTGTTTGAGACAGGATCTCACTTCATTGTTCAACCTGGCCTTGAACTCACTGGTCAGGCTGACCTCAAAATTATGGTAACAAGTTCTTCTGCTTCCAGAGTACTGGGATTACAAGTGTGGGCTACACACCCGGCTTACATGTTATTTTGAGATATGAGTGAATGTACTTAGTTCTAAGAGTTGGCCGAGCTTTTCCCCATGGAATTATTGGGAGCTTTTGGAACACTGGCTCCCCTGGCCAGTGATGTGGCAGGTAGACAGCAACTATCCAGGTTGGGTAAGGCTGAAAGGAGACAGTGATGAAAGGCACTTTTCTGAGTAGACTATGGAGGATTCTAAGAGTAGTAAACTTTTTCTGAAGGAAAAGGAAGCCTGTGAGGTGTGAAGAGCCTCAGCATTTTCCAAACATGAGCTCATTTGTTGGGATTTTCCAGGGGAGTAATAAAACTTATCACTATTCTTAATAAAGCCAGAACTGCCCTTACAGTTTGGGATTTAGTCCAGGAACTGTCTGGACTAGAATTCGAATACCCAGCTAACGTGTTAAATTTAACCCAACTGAAAAGCAACTGATCATCTTTCACTCCAACATGGTCGCCTGCTTTGCTCACCTGTGCTAATAGTGTCCGCATCCTACTATTCACCTGGGCTCATGCCTGGAATGTCTCCTTGTTTATTTCAAGTGTCTCTCATCTAGAGTGTTTGCAGTCAGTTGCTGGTGCTACAGGATGTATTTTATCTCCTTCCTTGTCCCTGGCTCAGGTCTCACGTCTGCTGCAGACTCTCATAATCACTTGCTGTCTGCCTGAGGCCGCCCTTTCTTCTCCCAGGCTGGTTCTACACCCCCGACTGAGAGATCGTAACACAGAGTTCTCTCCTTGCTTTTAGACCTGTCATGGCCTTTGCTCACACTGCCCTGCTGAAATGAGGATGCACCCCTCTGTCCTCGCCTTCTCAGTGTGTTCTCCAGCTGCATCTCCTGTTTCTTTGCATACACACTCAGTGTTCCAGCTTCTCCAAGCTGCTTATTTACCTTTCTTAAATGTCTCTGTGTCTTGGCTGAGCTTGCTTTCACCCAGCATTGCTCGCCCTTACCTCTCTCCTGCTTTAGTCCCTATGTGTTCAGATCCCACACAAACTAGACCTCACCTCAGTGGTGTTCACGCCCTCTATGACATTGTTTTAGTTTGTATTTCCCATTTTTCTTACTTCCTGTAGCTCTTTGCATGTAAGCTTTAGTTTCCTTATTAGACTGTAAATTCCCCGTGGCTGGAAAAGTAGAAAAACAATACTGTGTTCCTAGACAGAACATCTTGATATCATAAACTTGATTTTTTTTCCAGAATTAGTAGGTTTAATGCAATTTATTAAAAATTCCCAGAGTATTTTTTTAAACTATGAAAGCACTTTTGCAAAAGAATTATTTCACCTTAAAACAACAGCAAAATAGGAGATAAAGAGAGATGCGCTTATAAGGGAAAAGATAAGCTAGGTAACCTGTAGTGCATATATATTTGCATGATGGTATGTTATAGTCGTTTTATTTTGTTTTTAAATTTTTAAAAATTTGTATTAGTACATGTTTGTAGTGCATAATGATAAATTCATCATGGGAAGTTGTTACAGGTAAACAGCGTCTAAATTCTGTAGTCATTTTGTTTTATTTTAATTATTTTATTGTCTTTTGGTGTTGGGGATCTAATTCATGACCTCACACTTACCAAGCAGGGGCTGTACTACTGAGCTATACCCCTGGGCCATCTGTAGTCATTTTAAAAACTGAATTGAGGTACAGTACTTGTCTTGGGATGATTTATGTAATATAGTATTGTGAAGAAAAGATACATGAGAATGCTTATAAAATTCTTAAAAAAAAACCCCCAAATAGTACTAAGACACTCTCATCTTTAACATTGCGTGCACATAACTATATCGTGTGAGCAGAGGTGATTTACTTTGAGGCTAATGAAGCTTAAATTTTGAGACCTTTCACTTGTATGGGTACCTTTTAAAAGACTAAAGTAGCACTCTTGGCAGAATCTGCCTTCAGTTAACTTTTTGTTTTCCTTTTTCTCTTTTTGTTAACTATCCTTATCAAACAAGACTACCAATCATTAATGGCGCTACTGTTAAGCAGTCCGTATTTATCAGAGATTACGTACTTAAAGTTTTAGCTTTACCTTCACTTGTCCCTGGTGGGCTTCCCACTGTTTACCGGAAGACTTACTGTCCCTGTGTTGGCCACCATGGGTGAACTCACAGGAAAACTAATCTTCCACTGTAGCATCCATGCGTGCTAGCCCTGTTCCACAAGGTGCTCCGTCCTGCAGAAGTTAACATATTTGACTCTTGCCATAAGCCTCCATTTCCCTATTCCTTAGATGCGTTCTCTACACAGGACTTCCCTTTGATCCACTATAGGCTGAATGTGGCCTGTTTCACCTCTGAGCAGAACCAGCACCTTATTATTGTCGGTTACATTATTGCTGTCTTAATGGCTTGATTTCCTCTCTTCTGAGGAAAGAGCATTGCTTTCAGAGAATGCGATTTGACATTGCCTGCACCTCATCACAGTGCAGCTTGTCTGGGAGCTGTCTGTGGGACGACACTGGACCTTTCTGGATGGCAAGAGTGGGTCGTGGGCCTCTTCTGTCTAGTCTGCGTTATTATCAGAGTGTTACATTTCAAAAATAAATCTGGTTTTATCACCCCCTGTTTTCAGTGTGCCACAGGCTCCACACTGACTAGAAGTAGAGAGAAAACACAAGCTTCTTTCCCTGGCGGAAACATGGGCTGCTCCTCCCTCTCCATTCTTGTCCTTTCCACTCCCTCCTTACACCCACACCTGTGCCGCTGCCCAGACAGCTGCTCAGCCTCTTGCTTTTGTGGCCGTGGACGACTCTCACTCCCTCCTCCTGCCTGGGAGTGCTTCTTGCCACCCCTGTTTTTACCCCCCTAACTGTGAGGGCATTTGCAGTCTCCCCGAAGCTCAGCAGCACTGTGGGGTGCTCTGTTTACACATCTGTGTCTTGTGGGCCCTGTGGGTGAATACTAAAATCAGGAATATAGCACGTTTTAAGGTTTTTCTTTTATGTGATCTAATTTTAGTAGAAAGTGACTAAGACTTTTAATTAAGAATTCATTCTGGGGGGCTGGGGGTTTAGCTCAGCGGCATAAGCACCTGCCTTGTAAGCAGGCGGTCGTGAGTTCGATCCCCGGTACCGATAAAAATGAAAAAAGACCAAAAAAAAAAAAAAAAAAAAAAAAAAAGAATTCATTCTGGTTTTGCAGTAACACCCTTGGGAACAAAGTTTTTTTTTTATGGTAGACAACTTCTTGAAATGATGTTTCGTTCTTTCATCATCATTCAGTATATGCTGGGAGAGAAATTTTTTAAAAAATCAGTTATATACAACACAGATTGCAACACAGATCTAAGACCAGGTCTGCATGTAACATCAACTGAATTTACTGTTGGCCAGGGGACTGTCTCCAGGTTGATGCTGTCCTCGATTGCATAAGTGAATTGTCAGGCCATCTGCGTGGTGGAATCCTGGTTTCCCCCTGTTGCTTGTCCATGAGAAGCAGTAAAGTTGATTGGTTTCTCATCTCAGTGAATCCCCTCAGTTCAGTAGCTGGAGTCACTGTTGATCAACATCTAAAATCAATGTTTCTAGGCTTTCTTTTGTGTTACAATTTGTAGAACAAACTAGAATTTAAGCTTGATCTTGCTTAACTGCCTTCACTTGTTGATGAGTTGTGACCTGGAAAAATGGGAGCTTCTGTCACCATGGTTATGAATTCCTGCCACAGGACTGAGGTCAAGCAAGCCTCAGGATGCAGGTGTGTGGACCTGTCCTTGCCAACTGCAGCAGTTACACCTGTGTGCTTCCCTCAGTGGTTTCACGGTTAGAGGAATTATCGCAAGCATTCCACCTGGAGCCACTGATTGCATCACTCCAAGGCCACAAATATAAGGAACCACATCCTGTCCTGGCCACTGCAGCTGCTAAAGTGAAGGGACCCAGCATTTCCACATCTGCTAATAAATTGCACCCATTGCTATTTAAAGATCATGTTGGTTAAGTCTGTAAAGTGTCTTGAGGCTTACCATGTTGTAAGTAATTTCTCATGTTTTCTTCTTCCTTAATTACCGTTTGGTTGTTTCCTTCCTTTTATCTCCAAACTTCTTGAGTGAGCAGTCTCTACTGTGTACCTAATTATGGCCTGACCTCTACCTTCACTACTCTACCGAGACTGTTTATGCCTACACAGGAGTTAGAAGAGACAAATGGCCATGCTTGGTGGTCTTATTGTTTTACTGTGAGGCCGCTCTGGATTCTGGAAACTCACTTGTCTTCCCTCTCTTGTAGGTGCTGCCTCTTTCTCTCTCTCTCATCTATGGCCATGTTTCTCAG